GTATAAATGGAAGCTACAGTGTGTTTTACAACCTAACCTTGGAAATGATGTAACTTCTGCAATATGCTATAGATGACACAAAGCAGACCTGGTACAGTGGGAGGGAACTACACAAGGATGTGAATACCAGGAGGCAGGATGACAGGGACCCATCTTAGAGGTGGGCTTATTTACATTTTGCTATAATGTGTATAATATATTTTTAAAATATTTGTTGTCTAATTATTATCTTACAGAATAAAATTTAACATTTCTTTGCAGTATTTTCCTTAGTATCTGTTTCATTTAGAAATTTTTAAGTGCCAGTTTTCAGAGTGAGTTGTTGGTATTTCATATTTTTATGGTGCTCTTTTCAGTGTTTTAAAAATTTTTAACATTTTGATTTTTTAATATTGACCTTGTGTCTTGCCACTTCACTAAACACATTTATTGTTTTTAGTAGCTTCTTTTAGACTTAGAACTCTCTATGTACATAATCATAACTAGTCACTGTATCTTTGTATCTTTTTCTTTATTGCACTGGCTGTTTTCTAAGTGATGTGATCCTTACATTGCTCCTGTTCTTAGGGTAAAGCATTATCTTAGAGTGTTAGGTACAGGCATACTCCCTTTTATTACACTCTACATACTGCCTTTTTTTTTACAAAGTGAAGGTTTGTGGCAACTGTGTTTCAAGCTAGTCTGTTGGCATCATTTTTCCAACAGCATTTGCTCAGCATTTGTCTCTGTGTCACATTTGGTAATTTTGGTAATTCTCTCATTTCAAAATTTGACATTATTATTTGTTTTATATATATATATGTGATCAGTGGTTACAACTCACTGAAAGCTCAGATGATGGCTAGTCATCATCCAAAATCCACACTTTTTGATTGATGTACCTCTTTTAATGATAAGTCTCAAAGTTTTCCCTTGAGTTCCCTCCCCCTTTACATTTTACTTAAATCCAGCTTCTTTGTCCTGTATTCTTTCCTACAGTTTGAATTTCAGGAATTGCATTTCTATGGTGGTGGTTAAAGTGCCCCTCTGCTCTCTGTAATCCTTGCAAACCTGTAGTAGATATCTAAGAGAGGCTTGATAAGATCGGGTTGTAGTTTTTTAAATTTAATCTAGAATGTCTCATAGATGAAGTGTATACTATCATTAGGAGTCACATGATATCATCTTTCTTTTTTGTGATAGTAGGATAGCCTTATCTGTTCAGGATAACATTTCCTACCAGCTCTTCTCTGTTTTAGCGGCCACTGACAATCATTGTCTAGCCCTAGATCCATCACTTAATTAAAGGTTGCAAAATGGTGACATTCTCTATTATCCCTTCTTCAATTATTGGATGGAATATTTCTATAAAGAAAAGCTTTATAGATGCCTGGGTGGCTCAGGTCATGATCCCGGGGTCCTGGGATCAAGTCCTGCATCAGGCTTCTTGCTCAGCAGGGAGTCTGCTACTCCCTCTGCCTGCCACTCCCCCTGCTTGTGCGCACTCACTCACGCACTCTCTCTCTGATAAATAAATAAAATCTTAAGAAAAACTTTACCTTGTCAAACTGTTTGGTTACCTGGAGATATAGTTTGTGCAATTAAAATGTCATCATTTCAAGAAAGTTCTCAAAATAATGAGTTGATTTCATACTATCCTCTAAAGGTTGACCACTGACTGTTTTTGTTGTTCTGTCAGTACAAACTCATGGTTTTTAACATTCAGTTTGCCAATTGGCATTTTTATTGGAATCACATTAAATTTCTATATTAACTTAGGGGAGAATTGCTGTCTTTTTATTTAGTCTTCCTATGCAAGAACAATTATGCCTTTCTGCTTCTTTAAATCGGCTTCTGTACCTTTAGTGGTTTTTTAAAGTTTCTCTTAAAAGATAGTGTGTTTTCAGTTTATACCTTAGGTGTTTTCTTTTTTTATTGTTATTATAAACCAGGGTGTTTTCCACTGCAGTTTTAAGTAGTTACTTATGAAGTAAGTTTAAGTTTATGGAGTACTATGTATGAGGGCTATTGCTGTCTTTGTGTTAATTTTGTATCGTGCTATTTTATCTGTCAAGAACTTGCTTATGAAATGCAGTCATAGATTGTGTAAGGCATATCTTTCCTGCATGATAGTAAGACCTTTGCACAAAACCACTTTGTCTTCTTGGTACAAATGCAATGTTTTTTACAACCTGTGAGAAAAATTTTGTTGTGTTTAAAAATATGCCAAAGCCAAGAACTTGATCAACATAGAGCAGAATTTCTTAGCCTTGGCACTGTTGACATTTTGGGACAGATATTTTTGGTTTATTAGCATACCTGCCCTTTACCCATTTTTAAAAATATATTTTTAAAAGATTTTATTTGAGAGAGAGCGATTGGGAGAGAGAGAGAGCACGAGCAGGGGGTGGGGGGAAGGGAGAGGGAGAAGCGGAACCCGATGCAGGACTCGATCCCAGAACCCTTGGGATCATGACCTGAGCTCAAGGCAGATGCTTCACTGAGCCATCCAGGCGTCTGGGCCTTTACCCATTTGATGCTAGCGGTACTCCCCTTCTAGTTTTGACAACCAAAATATCTCCAGATATTGCCAAATGTCCCTTGAAAGACAAAATTGCTCTCAGTTGAAAACCATTGGACATAAGGAAATGGTTAAACTATGGTCCATCTAAATTATAGTTTAATATTAAGGTAAATTCAATTTAAGGAAGAAAATATACCATAAACCCAAGTATATGTCTGTATAAATACATATGCATATGTGCTAATGCATAGAAGATAATCTAGAAGGCCACACACAATGGTTGCTGTTAGTGGAAAAAAAATAGTATGCAAATAGTGGGATGGAAGATTTTGTTTTGTGTCGTTGAATTTTTTATGTTTTAAAATTCAAGTATTTTCTGTATGTATAACTAGAATTTTAAATTTTTTTAAAAGATTTTATTTGTCAGAGAGCACAAGAAGCAGGGGGAGCAGGAGAGGGAGAAGCAGACTCCCCACTGAGCAGGGAGCCCAATGTGGGGCTTGATCTAAGGATGCTGGGATCATGGCCTGAGCCAAAGGCAGATGCTTAACTGACAGAGCCACCCAGGCATCCCTAGAACTTTAATTTTAAAAAAAGATTGTATACTTGACTGGCTTTTTTACTTAGTTTTTTTAAATGTATGAGGGTTATAATCAAGTATCAAAAGAAATAGTGAACTTTCATTTGTTAAAAATGTTACAGATAGGAGTTTGGGGTGGCTTTTCTTTACTAAAAGGAATTGCTTTTTCATTATATGGACTCTCAAGATCAAATTCAGAAAAATATTACTGTATACACGTTTCTTCCATTTTCACATTTGCTTTTCTAAATACATAAAACACTATATAACTAGCCCTCCTAAATTTCAGAAAGTCATTAAATTTTTAGCAAGAAAATTGAAATATTTAAAATAAATTCTCTCAATTAGTAACTACTGATATAATCAGTTCTGATGATTTTATGAACATGCCAAGTTACACATTCTTTATGCCTCCTACCTTGTAAGCAGTGGTTCATGATTCCTTCCCTCAGGTGGCTTTGTTAACATCACACCACAAAACCCATCACAGACAACAATCAGTGCTCTAATAGACATGTAAGGAGAAGGTACACAGAGCATGCAGCTAGCTCTTTTTGGGGGAACTGGGAAAGACATTACAGAGGAGATGACAGCTGCACTGAATTTCTTTTTTTTTTTTTTTAAGATTTTATTTATTAGGGAGAGATAGAGCACCGGCAGAAAGGAGAGGCAGAAGCAGGTTCCCCATGAGCAGGGAGCCTCACGTGGGGTTCAGTCCCAGGACCCTGGGATCATGACGTGAGCCAAAGGCAGACACTTAACAGACTGAGCTACCCAGGTGCCCCTAAATTTTTTTAAAAAATAATCTCTACACCCAGTGTGGGGCTTGAATTCACACCCCAAGAATAATAATTGTATCCTCTACTGACTGAGCCAGCCAGGTGCCCCAGTTGAGCTGAATTTTAGCTGAATTCTTTTTCTTTTTTTTTTTAAGATCTTATTTATTTGAGTGTGAGAGAGCATGAGAGGGGAGAGGGTCAGAGGGAGAAGCAGGGAGCCTGATGCGGGACTTGATCCCGGGGCTTGAGCAGAAGGCAGCTGCTCAACCAACTGAGCCACCCAGACGCCCCTGAATTCTTAATTAGAGTTTTAACACGGGGAGGACCATGAGGCAGAAATCTGTGTGGAATAATAATAAAAGACATAAGGTAGGGCCCTAGGTGGATCAGTTGGTTGGGCATCTGCCTCCGGCTCAGGTCATGATCTTCGTCCTGGGATTGAGCCCCACGTGGGGCTCTCTGCTCAGCAGAGAGTCTGCTTCTCCCTCTCCCTCTGCCCCTCCTCCCTGCTCCTGAGCTCGCTCGCTCACAAATAAAATCTTAAAAAGATAATAATAAAAGACAAAGTGATTTTTAAAAAGAGCTGTTAGAAACCTGCTACATTGTAATGTGTGATGCTGTGTCTTGAGAAAGAGCAAGAGATTGTGTAAGAATTCAGTGATGGGAAATTAAGATAGAGTTAAGCTTAGTGTTGGGTCTGTTTTGGCTTTTTTCTTGTGCTGTTTCTCTTTGAATAACTCTAATAGCCTTCTGTAGCAAGTGACATAATTCGGTTTATCAAATAGGGATTATCTGAGAAAGTAGTATGAAGGAAAGTTTTCATAGTGTTTTAAGAGTCTATTTACAGGGACTCAGGATCAAATCTGGGTGTCATCAGAGAGGGTCTCCAGTGAAGCTGCTTTCAGGCTCACACCTGAAGGATGAGTCAGAGTTGTCCAAGCTGAGGGTTGGGGATTGGTGTTTGAGGCATATGTAATAGGAAAATCGGCCAGAGTGGCTGAAGTGGTGGTGGGAGTGGTATAACATGGCACTGAAGAGGCAGGCAGGAGGGTCACATCATGCATAGCCTTGTGGACGTGTTCGTGTGTTTGATTCTAAGGAGATGGTATTTTCTAATACAAAGTCATCTTTTCTGCAGTACCAAATATGCCCCAACAGCGGCAAGACCAGCATCATCAGAGCACCATGATGCACCCAGCCTCAGCAGCGGGCCCACCAATTGTAGCCACCCCACCAGCTTATTCCACACAATATGTTGCCTATAGTCCTCAGCAGTTTCCAAATCAGCCTCTTGTTCAGCATGTGCCACATTATCAGTCTCAGGTAAGGCTGATATGATCTAACTCTTAATTTTTGTTCCCTTTAAATAACTTCCAGTTTTAACCTTTAATATGGTAAAGGGGTTTTTCTTTACATTTTGTGCTCTGTGTTATGGTGAGGTAGATAGTTAAGTATTTGGGGGCCTTTTTAGTATAAGAAGGTTGCTGATCAATGTGAGTATTTCAAAGGAAATAGCCAAGAACATTCGTTTTAGGATTTTCAGAGTTGTTTCTGTAAACCTGGAAAGCGTGGAGTTAAGACATCTGACTAAAATTTGCTTGAACTCTGTTCGATACTTTAATGTATTTTCTTTATATTTTGTTTGAACACAGCATCCTCATGTCTATAGTCCTGTGATACAGGGTAATGCTAGAATGATGGCACCACCGGCACATGCCCAACCTGGTTTAGTGTCTTCTTCAGCAACTCAGTACGGGGCTCATGAGCAGACGCATGCGATGTATGGTAGGAAGCATTTTGTTTGTCTCTTTCAGTGTGAGTGACTAGTAATTTGTTTTAAAGCTCTGAAAAGAAACTTTAAGAATAACTTAGCCTTTTATACCATTGAGGGTCAAGAATCTAAAGAAAGATGAACCCATTTCTGTAAGTCTTGGCAAAATCATTTCAACTTCTGTTCCTGAAATTTGTCTTCAAATATCTCTCCTTATTTTAAGTGAAATAGAATGATTTGTATAACAGAAAATATCATTTGTGGAGAAGAGCATCTTCCTCCTCTTCCTCATCAGTATTAACAACCATTTGGTATGGCCTGCCTAAGGCATGCAAGAAAGTTTTACCACAATGAGAGCACTCTCTAGCAAGAAAACATTCTGCTTCACTCCTTCCTCTGGCAATCATTGGCATTACATATTTTTATTGCTGTTTGTTAAAATGAATGCTACTGTGTTTCTGCCTCATGCTGATTTTAAGTGGTTGAAATAGTATAATATTGGATCTCCTTTAGATATGAGTCACACTTTAAATATAATTGTTATAAGCAATGGTAAAATTAAAATGAGAAGTATCCTATGTAAAATAATTAAACAATATATAAAAGAATAATAGGCAGAAATCTTCATCTTAGTTTTGTGGGTGGAGAACTTTGTGCAGGTCAACTTAGCATCTGTCTAAAGTACTAAAATAATATGGTTTTCAATGTTGAGAATTTAAAATAACATTTCCCCATAGTCAGTGAGTTGACCCATATTATATTTTTCAAAAAACTTTAGTACTAGTTTCATTAAGATATAGGTTTTGTTTTGAACTTTGCTGAGCACTCCTGTACTGTCATTTAGGTTTTCCCATTGGCATTTCAGTTTCTTGGAGTGGGAGGAAAGAAATGTAAGTTTATTCATACAAATGAAAAGTATACTGCTATGAGAAATTATCATTACAAGCAATTACGTGGACATTTCATTTTTAAACCTTTTAAAACCTTTTTAATGACTACAGTTAGGATATTTTGTAGGTTCGTAGGAATAAGGACTCAGGCAGCAGTAGTTTCTTGTCATCCATAACCTGCTGCTCGTGCCTTCTTCCTGGAGGCATGCTCCCGCCGCACACGTTTGCAGTGATAGGAATGTTAAGTGATTAAAGGCATTGTTTTTGTAAAATACTTAAATCCAATCTTTATTTTACACATTATCACTTAAAAACTTTCTATTGTGGATTATGCCCTTTAAATTAAAATGAGGTATTTGCCACGTTTGGGGAAACTTTCTTACCAGAAACCCATTCATAATTTAATTGAAAAAAATACCAACAGACTGATTTGGCTTATGATTTTGGTTATGATTGCTTTTCATTGGCTTGTCTTAACCAGGACTAAGTATGTATGAAATTGCATAAAAGCGTGTTCATCACATACGCTTTTAAGCAATTTGTATACATTTCAGCAACTTTCTGGTTTGCTAAAGGCTTAAGTGAAAAAGTTCATTATGAGTTTTTATATATTTCTGGTAAGTACATCGTGATTTAACAAGTGGAAAAAAACATTTCTCCCCTCCCATTTTCTGGCATACTCCTCTTGGAATAAGATCTAAACCTTTTGAGCTAAAATTTCCATTGCTTTTTAGAGAGTAGCTATTGGTTGTACCCATGCTTATGAGACATTGTAGTGATACTGTGATGTTGAGAAGAATCTTTCTCCTCAGTGTGTTCACTCACTGCCAGCATCTGGTTTTGTCTTTTGGATGATGTTCATTGGTTTGAAATAGCCTGTATAGTAAATACTGTATCTAAGACGCTAATGGTTTTATAACTACTTTCCCAAAACGTGTACATTTGAAAAGTAGTTGTCCTTGGACACTGAAGTCAATTCATATGTGGGTAAATAGGAAATACTGCAAACAAAACACTAGGTCTAATGGCCAGTGAAATCTGGCATGATTTGTCATGAAGACTAGTTCTTTATTGCCAGGAGAAAGTTGCTCAGCCAGATGTGAAACTATTCTCCTGCAGTTTACACAGGTTGTAGTTAATTGACGTCTGTTGACGAGGGCAGGCTGGGGTGAAGCTGTGGACTTGATATGGTTGTTGCTGGTTACTCAGGTTCTCATTTGGATACTTCATACTCTAAAAAGAACGCTAGAAAATGAACTGTTTTATTCTTTGCCATCATAAGCCATAATTTAACCTAGTAAAGCAAGTTCAATTTACTTCAGTTATTTTAGATCTTCCAAGACCCTTCTAAAGTACATTATTTTAAACTAAGACAAATCTGTTGCATAGAAATGCTAATTTTACACTTCTTTCCCTTAAACAGTTTATATTGCGTATTCCCAGAGGAACCAAGTATTTTGAGTATGAATTGTCTATTTTGAAGCTTCATTCTATCTAAATATTCTCAACTTTTTATGCCAACAAAAGAATATGCACCCAGATGTTGGCGACAGTTCTATGTCACCCTTTTGTCATTTTTTCATTGTTAACAGCCATAGCAGAAGGCTTTGAGAATAGAAAGGGCACTAATGACTACAAAATGAAAGACTGCTTATTGTCTTTAAATGGTAGGCATATTCAATATAAATATGCTGACATTATTAAACAGCTAAATTACTCAGAGAAATATTAGACATTCTAAGTAGTTCTTGACCTTGTTCTCTATCTATCTATCTTAGAAAGGAGTTTGATCACAGACTTTATCTCTTTGACCTTAATCTAACTTAAATCATTGCCTTTGCCCCTTCCCTCCTAAGAAGTTACTTTTTGTTTCCTGGTCTCGTAATTCACCTAATTTTTTTCTGTGGCAGTGGTGTTTTCCCTTTCAGAAGTAGTAGTAATGAAAATTTCTCTACTAACTGAAGCCATCGGGAAGAGTTAGATCCAGAATCCTCTTTGAGTTTGTTTTTGGTAGTTTAATGAAGATAAATGAGAAAATACAGGAGGCAAAAAGATTTAAAATGCACCTATTATCCCTCCACTTGACAACTACCTGTTAACATATTGGTGTGCATATCCTTCCAAATGTACTTAACACACACACCCATTTATGTAGATATTTTAATAAGAAATGATATTATACTCATGTTTAATATTACCATTATTGTGTTTCTAAATTTTTGGGTTCACTTCCAGATGCCTAATAAATAACTTACAGAATAATGATGCTTCTATTAATGATATACAAAATTGTTTGAGTCTTTTGAATTAAACTTGGTAAATATTCTCTTATTTTGGTACATTATTTATATCCAGGTTGTTCAGTGGAATGCCGTGTTGGTCTTTTGATTAGATAATGATTTTATTCCTTTCATTTAAGCAAGTCAGCATGTGGAACTCGACACATCAGTACAGAAGAAAAAATATCTTTTGGTTCAGTCCTTTCTTGTTTAATTTTGTAGCAATGTTTAAAGTGCTTGTCATCTCTTGTAAAATAAGAAAAATGATTTATGCATGAATACAAAAAAATTACTAAATATGTCAACCTTTCCAGAAAATTAGGAAAATGCACACCTCAAAAGGCTAATTTACCTTTCTATTTCCCAAATTCAGCATGTCCCAAATTACCATACAACAAGGAGACAAGCCCTTCTTTCTACTTTGCCAGTGAGTTGGGTTTTTTATACTAATTTTAATTGAACAGTAAAACACTTTTTAAAGAATACATGTTAAGGGAGTAGACTTGTTGAGCAATATTTTCCTTGTGCCAGACAAAATCGTTGAATATATCTATATTTGTAAATAATTCAGAGTTTTAAAAAAGGAAATACAACCCAGCTTAAGAAAGCTGGAGTTAATTAAAAAATTGAGTTTCTTCAGAAATTAATTTTTGCATACCAAGCAAACATGTGACAATTGTTTTGGAAATGCCTAATATTTTCCTGGTTCAGAGAAACTTCTGCTGAGCTGCCCTTTTTTTTTTTTTAACCCACAAATTTAGTATAAAAAGCTTAAAATATTAGGCTTTTTCAGTATCCTGGTGAGAGGAAATTTATCCTTACAAGGATTTTTTAATTGAATAGGGTTGAAATTCTAGGTATGAAACATTTCTGTCTTTTCAGTCTTTGCATGACTGAAGAAGGTTTAAAATATTTAGGTGGTAGACCCCAGAATGTTTTGAGCTTGAGCAGGAAAGCACAGCCTGGCTGCTTCATTATGTTTGGCAGCACTGGCCTCTCTCACCACCAGTGAAAAGGTAAATAAACAATGGCTCCTAAATGGAGAAAGTCTGGGTAGGGCTCTCTTTTGGAAATGAATGTGTAAGGTGTGTCCTCTTTATTTTGTAGGGTAGTTTTAAAATAAGGCTAGTCATGGACTTTTGGTATTTGGATAAGAAAGGTATTGACTTGCACAAGTCCTTCAGAAATGTATGCCAGGAATTGCACATCACTTGATGTGCAATACTATATTCTAAGGGATATTAAGGATTAAGATTTTAGATACTAAATTTTGGATTATTTTAGAAAGACTTAATGTCTAAATCTACTAAATGCCAGATTTTAAAAAGTTGAGAAAATATTTTGACTTAAGTTTTCATTAATTGTGTCATGACTTGGTATCCAAAAATGGTGTGTACATGTTATTCATTTGGTGCTAGGAATTGTTAACAAATTTAATCCTTTAATAGATGCTCTTTAAAAAGGAGTCTTGCTGTATATCTATACTATGAAAGGGAAACTTTGTATGTGATATAGTATGTAAAAGACAGTGTCAGTAATTAATTTTATTATGTACTCAATTTGAGGTCTCAAATGTAGTTATCCTCACCATCTTACTGTCTCTGATAGTAATTTTGGAGTCAGTTTCCTAAAGTAGCTAAAAGATCCTTAATCATCAAACCTAAGTATTAGCTGCCTTAGTACAACATCCCCTGAAAGGAATTATTAGTTTTTAAAAGAAACTAACAGTGGGCCTACTATTTGTAATTTAATTTGCTGCTTTGTACCACCCCTCCCCACAAGCCATTTTGTCATGGTTTGCTCTAGTTGCCTTTTACTCCCCTCTCAAGAATTCAGTTTTCCTTCACTTCTTTTTTCTGAATTTAACATCAGATGGGAAGATTTTGTTTTCATTTTTAGTTTTGCAGTGCTGGTGATCCATCCTGACTTGTGCATCCAAGGTCAAAATGATAAAACCTGGTTAAAAATTAAACGCACAGCCTCATGGACTGAATTGGCTTCAGTAAGGTCATGGCTTAGGAAACAATTTTTATAATGTGTTTAGTGTTGTGGGGATTTTGACAAGTCACACATTTAGAGTTTTAAACACTTGTATCAAGGAACACAGTGAGTGGGAAACTTCTGGACCAGGTAAAACCCAAAAAAGCAATACTTCTTTGATTAGCCTGAATTCATCCAGGTTTCATGAAGGCAACTTAATTTTTATAAATAGAAGTTTAACTGATGAATATCTAAATCAGAATTTTGAAAAGAATTTGTTTTTAACCTTTGGAATCTTTAGCTGAATTAATGAAATAATTATAATAAAGAAAGTTAATTGGTAGACTCAGCTCAGTAAAGCCCAGCATTTACTGTCTTTCACTCTCCCCTTCTTCCTTTCCCTAATTCTAGTAGGTTTTTTTCTCATTTATTTTACTAAAGGAACCCGACTATATTTTTGTTGTTATGTAAGTATTGGATTAAAAAGTGTCAATTTCACATTTTTCCCAATTAGCTACCCAGTTTTTGTATTGAGTGGGGGGAAGAATTCCTGGATGAGGTACTTGCTTAGCAGGTATCTTTTAAGCAAGAAGATAAACAAAGGAAATTATTTCTAATTAAACCTTTTAAAGTTTTATTTGCAGTTAATGATGCATATTTACATGTCCTTGATTTTTCTTACAATGCATTGTAGTTTGCTCTTGTTTAGGTAGGGAAAGGATAGGGTTTTTTTTTTTTTTTAAAGCAAAAGCCTGTGTAGATGCACACAGTTTGGGTTACTTGAAGTATTTGTGCTATGAATGCAAATGAGATATAAATTAGAATACTTTATAGCCTTTCAGTGTTGGTAGACTGCTATCACGGAGATGCCTTTTAAAAATGCACAGTAAAACATACTTCATCTTAAAAAAATTTCATCTTTAATTTTTTCCAAATTTCAAGATTTTTACCTTTTTTAATTGATGAATTACTTCATTATGAGATTTCATGGGCGTAATTATTCTCCTTGTGTGAGGTAATGTTTTTATATCAGAAAACTAATATAGCACTTAGCTAGAATTTTTTTTTATTTATTGTTTTTATTTCCTTAAAACTTTGCATAGAAGGTTATTAAAAGTACAAACATTTCTTGAATAAAGTTTAAAAAATAGAATCTGCGAGATTCTGTACTCTGTCTTTATGAAACCTCATAAATTGAATTTGGGATACAAGAATTGCTTCCCCTTAGATAGATTTAGTATTGTTAGAAATGAAACACTTAAGAAGCTTGGGGGTAGGGAGGATTTTAACGCTAATACTGTGAAAATAAGGAGCATGAGGGGCACCTGGCTGGCTTAGCCCGCAGAGCATGGGGCTCTTGATCCTCAGGGTCGGAACTCCACGTTGGGTGTGGAATTTTCTTTAAAAAAAATAAAAAAGCCCGTGAATGACTCTAGACAGCATCCTCCAGTAGAACTTTCTGTGATAATAAAAGTGTGCTGTAGATTGTGCTGTGTGATCAGCAGCCACTAGCTACATGTGGCTATTACAGTTATTTAAAAGTAAATTTGAAGAATGTAACATTTTTATAAGAGCAGCAGAGTCAGGTTCAAAATTTACATCAAGTCTTTTAGACCAAGTCAGTCCCTAGACAGTTTGGGGGGATCTGAAAGTTAACCTAATGAATATGATGATGGTGAAGGATGAATTAGAAGAAAGACACTGACTTTTATAGACTCAGGGGACCATGGAGTTCAAGGAAAGCAATTAGCACGTTATTCTTCCCAGCTCCCAGAAGACAGGCATGGACTCTTCCTAAAAACACCCAGAGAATATCATGCCACAACTCTCCTGGTTAATATGTTCAATGTGTATTAACTCTTATAGTTAGGGAAATTTTTTCAGTGTATAAACAAAAGTATTTTGTTTAATCTGGGTATTAATGAATATTAATACCTGCTATGACATTGGCAGTGGATGCACAGGTGATCCTTGCACTGGCTCTTTGCCTTGCCCTTGCCTCTTTTAAAAGATACATATATGGCGTATCTGGCTAGCTCAGTTGGTAGACTGTGCAACTGTTGAACTCAGGGTTGTGAGTTCAAGCCCCATGCTGGGCATAGAGTCTACTTTTAAAAATACATACATACACAGTTGGGATATAACCAGTTAGGCTGGAATATTGGTGGCCTTTGGCCCTGCAACATCAGGCATTACAGAATTGCTTCCTGTGCCTAACCCTCTGCATAACATTTCTGTGGGACATGCCGGGTGTCACTTATGCTGGTGACTCTTGGCATTCTTGCCTATTAGACTGCCAGAGTTAGAGGGCCTGATCTCAAAGCAGTGCTTGTTTCTTCCTGTCAGTCCCCTGTATGTCTGTATTTGCACACATGTCATAGGAAGAACATGAGGAGCTATTTTGGAATTGTTTCTCTGTGTGGACTTAGCTTCTCTGGAATTTTCGGATGAATTTGAGAGAAGGCTGGAAGTCCTATGTTGCTAGGGATGGGTCTTGAGAAAACTGTTTATCAGCTCATTGCCACATCATGGTTAGATTTGTATCCGTGTGCTGTCAGTAGTCACTGGAAGCAGTGAACTCATCTTACTGTGATTTTGATTCTCAAATTGCTATTTTGGGAATACATGAACAAATGAATTTAGACCTAATCTCCTGTCAAGGTATGGTTCTTGCGGAGATCCATAAAGAATTGGCTTTAGGTTCATATCTTTAAATGAACACATTTTTACTTAAGAGTGGCCCATCATATGTCCTTTGAAGTTACTCCAGCTAGTACAAATCTTTCTCAAGGCTGGGATGCTTTGAAGGGAGTTCATTTTTCTACATAGTTTGGGCAATTCCATTTACTAGATTTTTTAAAGCAAAGGTGAGAGAGATCCTTGAGTAGGGAGGGTCCAGGGAATGAACTGAGTGGCAGAGTTGGGTGGGCAGAGTTCCATCACAGACTTCTGTGATCAGCTGAGATTGATTATGGTCATTTGGCCATGAAGATAGAGCCCTAACCTTGCCACATACCTTACCCAGCCCTTTCTCCCAGTCCCAATGCAGTCAGTGCCCATGGGACACTGTGCCTGCTCCAGGGCAGTAGCATGGTGAGGTTAGCCAGATGATGGCCTTGAGCTAAAGTGTGTGTGTGTGTGTGTGTGAATTGTTTCTGTTGATGCTATTAAATTGCTTTTTCAGGAAAATCTAGTGACTACTTTAAGAGTAAATTTAATTAGATTTTAATATAATTGTATACAGCCGTGTTATATAAATAAAATGCTAGTCTGATTGGTAAGCGATAACTTCACACTTAAGATTTTCAAGAAAATGGATGGTTTAAAAATGGAGTCAAACACAGATTGGTAAAAGCATGAGTTAGGCACTGAGTATCACGAAAGCTCAGCTGATGAGGCATAGAGGAGCAATTGAGACCATGCTACATGTCGGTTGTACACACACCTTTTTCTTTCACTTCAGTTTCCACTGGCTCCCTTGCTCAGCAGTATGCGCACCCGAATGCTACCCTGCACCCACATACTCCACATCCTCAACCTTCAGCTACCCCCACTGGCCAGCAGCAGAGCCAGCATGGCGGAAGTCATCCTGCACCCAGTCCTGTTCAGGTAAGGAGAAACTCAGGTCTTGTAGAATTGCATCCTCATTCTGTTTACTGAGCATTTTCTTCAGTGCTAGTATCTTGCTAGGTACCACGTGATCAAAACACCTCACACCCCTGCCTCGTGAAGCCAGCATATAGCTAACTCTGCCCACTGTGCCCCTGGGATTTGGTTTTTGTTGTTACTGGATTTTGTTTTGTTTTTTTTTAAAGATTTTATTTATTTATTTGACAGAGGAGAGACACAGCGAGAGAGGGAACACAAGCAGGGAGAGTGGAAGAGGGAGAAGCAGGCTTCCTGCCAAACAGGGAGCCCGATGTGGGGCTCGATCCCAGGACCCTGGGATCCGACCTGACCCGAAGGCAGACGCTTAACTAACACTGGGCCACCCAGGCGCCCCTGTTACTGTTTTTAAGTCTTATTAAGATACATGTTGAGAATGAGGTGACTGAATAAGTTCTAGAAATAATTGATTGAAAAATCTAATTTAACATTATATTGGGAATTGGCTTGGGACTTTTTTTTTTTTTTACTTCATTTCTGACAATTGTACAACGATTTTTTTTTCCTATTAGCTTCTGCAGTCATGTTTGTTAACGGGGCAGTTAAGGATCTCTTTGACATCTTTCAGTTCCCTGGGGCAGTGCTATTGTTCTTCCTCTGCTTGGTTGAGGGCTTGCAACCACCACTTGCCCCCCAGCCCTGCCCTTACCACCCTGTACATTCTCTGGTACTTGCCACTGCTCTTCATCTTAGATGGGCCCAGGGGAGCCTACTTTCATATGTGGAGTTCAGCTTTGTGTGTCACCTTAACTGCTTTTCATTCAAGAAATGGTTTTCTCACTTCTTTCTTGTCTCTTTGCAGCACCATCAGCACCAGGCCGCCCAGGCTCTCCATTTGGCCAGTCCACAGCAGCAGTCAGCCATTTACCACGCGGGGCTCGCACCAACCCCACCTGCCATGACCCCTGCCTCCAATACGCAGTCGCCACAGAATAGTTTCCCAACAGCACAACAGACCGTCTTTACAATCCATCCTTCTCATGTTCAGCCGGCATACACCAATCCTCCCCACATGGCCCACGTACCTCAGGTAAACCAGCTTTAGCCAACTTTCTGTGAAGACTGAGTAGAATATGAAAGTTACCAGATAAGCAGCAAAGAGCCAGATGCTCTGCAAGCTAGGAAACCCTGTGTGTGATGCCATTTGCCTGTCTCCCTTTTCCCACTCAAATACATGTGATCTGGCCCTAAATGAATGTTGGTGTGGTTTTGTAATGGGGTCAGTAAAGTTGCTGGTTGGTCAGTCCTTTAATGTTTCCCATCTGAGACCTTAAAAATACCTCTGATTTTGGAATGCAAACCAATCCTTTCCTTCTGTGTCTGCTTCGCTATGTTTCTATAGCTTCACTGCTATATGTGTATACATAGTATATATATTCTTTCTCTTCCTCCCTTCTTCCTCCTTTCTCTCTGTCTCTCTCTCTCTTTCTCCCTCCTACTCCCCCACCCCCATCCCTCTCTCGTACACACATACACACACCCACACACACAATTCTGGCAGGGAGGTTGGGCTTCACAAATTCTTAGCTCTCTGAGGTGACTGCCCTGAGCCTGTCAGCTTGAATGTTAGTCACACGAGTTCCAGAGAAATCTCTCCACTTGATTTCCTTGCCTATCAGTACACCCGCTTTGACCATATGTTGTACTTCTTGAAAGGGCTTGGCCTTGTACATTGGTGCAGTGTAACTAGAAGCTGGAAGCTGGAAGCACTCCCATTTTTCTTAAAGAGCAGCCTGGGAGGCTCTTTGGAGCTCACTTCCAGCGTAAGCCTCTAATGGTTGAAAGGTGTGGTTGACATCTTAGTGGTTGCTGGCTGCATCAGCTGCTGACAAAAGTCCAGTGCAATCCAGGGCCAAGTTAGATTATCTTAATAAGGAGCTGCACTGAAGTTGGGCTCTAACACTGTCCTTGAGGCCCTCCCTGGAGCTGTTAAGGGTGAATCGGCTGTATTTGATGTCTCTTTTTGCTGCTTTCATAACAGAACTCTCTTAGGCAGGTGTAAGCTAGACTGCTCACTGAACTCCATTTCATGTTGAATAGTGCGCCACTGAGGCTCTGGCGTGCTGGGGGCTGGAGATGCGACTCAGTTGGAGCTCACTCTCAGAAGGCAACCTTGTAACTAGAGTTCCACAGCTCTGGGAAGTTAGGGCGTCCTCCTCTGCACAAGTGAGGGTTCTGTAGTGTGGTGCACTGCACTTGGATGATTTGCTTTTGATAGTGGGGAGGGGAGCCGGTTTGGTCAGGTGTGGGCCAGCATGGTTTGGCTGAATCAGGAGCTTCATGAGAGCGGGGGTCCTGTAGGTGGTTAGCAGAGGTTGGTGGCTAAGTAGATACTTGAATTTACATGTAAGTTGGGGTTCCTAAAACCTCACTTTTGTGTTTTTGTGTTGAAAGAGAAAAAGGTTAACACTTCTAGGGAAGTCCAGATATGCCATGGGCCCATTTGAATATGTAAGAGAGTAAAAACAGCATTTCATTCAAGGCTTATTGTGGTCTAGCACAGTGCACAGTATGGGAGAAAAGGGGGGCTCCTCCTGACCCTGCCATATCCCCCTGAGCTGGGATCCAGCGATTTGGGCTGGCTAAACCTTTTCCAACTTGACAGTGAGACCAGGTTGCACTCACTATCACTTGGTTTAGGGGCACGGGGCTGGCCCAGATAATTGCACATTACTCCTCCCCATTTCATTGGAGCTATTTACTGCAGCCCACTCCTCCTGCTCAGTCAGCATATCTCTTAGAGTAAAGGGGCTCGACTGTCTCTTCTCTTGCTGCCCCGACTCATTCTTCACAGAGACGTGCTGGTGAGCAGACAAGAAACAGAGGGGAGGGGCAAAGAACGAGAGGGCTAAGGATTCCATAAATTACTGTCATCACCTGCTTTTGTAATTAAAAGGGAGGTTATCTTTAAAACTACTTCAGGCCCCACTCAGAAGCCAGATTCTGAAGCATCATTGCATCTCACCTCCTATTAAGTTGAGAAAGCTGCTTTCGGATCAGATATCTGAGCTTTGTGACGATCCTGCCCAACAAACATAGAATCCAGCAATCAGAAATGTTGAAGGCTAGGATGTTGCACCCCTTATTTTTACCCAGGCTTGCTGGGCGCCTGCTCCCTCAGCCTTGCAGGACCTGCTAAAGGGTGAAACATGTCTATAGGTCAATTGATGATCCATTAGGGAGTGTCCCCAGAGAAAAGAAAGGGCCCTGAGGGCCCCCCTTTTGGCCTTTCCTGCCCCAGCCCAGTGAAAGGAACACAGTTGACATGTTGTTTAAGCTGGAGATGTTGCCTGTATGCGTAAAAGAGCTCTCTGTTTCAGGCTCATGTACAGTCAGGAATGGTTCCTTCTCATCCAACTGCCCATGCGCCAATGATGCTAATGACGACACAGCCACCCGGCGGTCCCCAGGCCGCCCTCGCTCAAAGTGCACTACAGCCCATTCCAGTCTCGACAACAGCGCATTTCCCCTATATGACGCACCCTTCAGGTGAGGCGTGTGTGTGCAGGGGCCGCCGGGCACCCCAAAGCATTCTGCTCGCACAGGTCGAATGGCAGGCAGGGCCAGCGCTTCAAGCCCCGCATTTGAGAACTAGCAAGACCCGTCAGAGTGTGCACAGTAGGGACTGTGATGATCAGTTCAGTGTCAGGGCCTGAGGCTTCCAGGAGCCGAGTCTGTGTGTGTTCTGATGGTATACAGGATTTGGCTTGATGAGAAGCAGCAGCATTCTGTGTGGCTGATGCATGCTTAGGACTCAGTTGGCCTTCCTTGTTAAAGTAGGCTGGACAGGGCAGCGTTTTCCTTCCTTAGTCCCTGCCCCGCGCTCCCCCCACCCCGCCCCCAGTCTGACGGGGGTGGTTACCACCATGGCAGAGTTTGACTGTAGCTCTGGAGAAGACTACTGATGAGAAAGTGTGCTGTGTGTGGATTGGTTTTGAGTGTAGCCTTAGCTCCAGCCTATGCCCTGACAGGAAGAGAAGTCCCTGCGATTGTGCTCTCATACTTGATGGCTGCCATGGCAATAGTTCACAGTCTGACCTGTTACTCTGAAAGCAGTACTGGTGCTTGGCTAGTATCTGGGGAGGGGGTATGTTAAGGCCTTTTTTTCTACCCCATGAGCAACAAGTCTTCTGGGAGTTTTATCTGAAGTGGTTTTACATCTGACTGGTTTGTTTCTACCCACCCACCTACCCCTCCCCCTTTTGGTGCAGATGGGAGGGGGAAGAGTGAATTAAATTTTGAGTCTGTTCAGCTAGCACAAGGGTAGTTTACAGTCATGTGCTGCAGAGACACTAGGCTAATGTGTGGTGTTGCCAGTTTTCTGTTTAAATATCCACTTTTCTTTCTTACAGTACAAGCCCACCACCAACAGCAGTTGTAAGGCTGCCCTGGAGGAACCGAAAGGCCAAATTCCCTCCTCCCTTCTACTGCTTCTACCAACTGGAAGCACAGAAAACTAGAATTTCATTTATTTTGTTTTTTAAAAATATATGTTGATTTCTTGTAACATCCAATAGGAATGCTAACAGTTCACTTGCAGTGGAAGATATTTGGACCGAGTAGAGGCATTTAGGAACTTGTGGGCTGTTCCATAATTCCATATGCTGTTTCAGAGCCCCGCAAGTACCCCAGCTCTGCTTGCTGAAACTGGAAGTTATTTATTTTTTAATGACCCTCGAAAGTCATGAACACATCAGCTAGCAAAAGAAGTAACAAGAGTGATTCTTGCTGCTATTACTGCTAAAAAAAAAAAAAAAAAAAAAAAAAAATCAAGACTTGGAACGCCCTTTTACTAAACTTGACAAAGGTTCAGTAAATTCTTACCGTCAAAATGACGGGTTATTATTTATAAATCAAGTTTGATGGAGTGATCACTGTCTACAGTGGTTCAACTTTTAAGTTAAGGGAAAAACTTTTACTTTGTAGATAATATAAAATAAAAACTTAAAAAAAATTAAAAAATAAAAAAAGTTTTAAAAACTGATATCAAGTTAGTCTGTGTTTGTATAAGCTTAAGATATTTCTGTTATAGGATACTTCATATCGAGGCAGGAGGGCTGAGTGTGCTTTCTTAAATATCCTGGAAGGTTAGTTGTCAAATGACTTTTCTTCTTCACCTTTAGTTCTGGTTCAAGGTATCTCTAGAAAAAGACAAGACTGAGACATTCTCTTTGGTGGATAAAGGTCCGCTCCAGAAGGAGGAAGGCTGGCCAGAGCTGGGCAGCACTGAGAATCCCACATCCTCAGCCTGACGCTGGTTCTGTAAGCTTCCTTTTTAATATCTCCTGAACCCAGATGAGTGTTGTTAGTCAGAAGTTGTCCTGATTCACACACCTGTTTTACCAGTAGGGGGCAGGAGACACCTTTTAAAAAGAAACGGATAAATCCAGAGGGCTGAAAAGCTAAAACAATGCAGCGATGTACAAAGTACTTATTGCCGTAGACTCACAACATTGCTCATGTTCCCCCTTTGTGGGGAGACAGAGGGAAAAGCAAGTAATTGAGCAGAGCAAGGCTTTTGCAGAGACCATAGTCCTGTAATGATAGAGCCTTTAAATATTACAGCAACAAGTCAAGATTCTGAAAACTTTTTTTTTAATTCATGTGTAGCAATTTGTACATTATAGCAAAATTTGCATTATTCAAGAATAAGTTACTTGTACAGTACATAAACAATACATAAAAATTTGCCAAATACCTTCTGCCTATAATGATATAGAATGAATCCATTTACACTGTTGTCATTACAATGTGCTGCTTATTCCAGCCAAACACTGGGTGTCAGATGTGTCCTTAAGAGGCAGTGGATAATATACTATCAAGTTCCTCAAGCCTGTGGGAGATGTTAGAGCTCACATGACATTTGCGATAGGAGACGTAGCCCTGAATTAAAAGCATGAAGGAATCTCAGGCAACACTTAGGGAAGAGTTCAAGGCCTTAATTTTAGGTTAAGAAACTGTTATGTAAAAATAGTGTTCTCTGGCCTAAGATTTTAATGATTGCTATTCCTTTTTCCTACACGGTCCAGAAATGATCAAAGGCAGAAGATTTATACCAGATAAAGCCATATGGATTGCTGGTCTAAAATTCAAGGCAGGTTAGTTGACTTAATTCTTTGGTGCTGGTGACTGTTAGTTTGTAAAAGTTCATTCAAGACAGAAGAAGGAAGTGATGGTGCTGGGAGCAGTCAAGCTATCCTTCTTGTCTGTCACTAGAGATTAACTGGAGGGATCATAGTGCTTACTATCCATGTGGCATTCAGAACCTGGCCTCTCAGTGGAGGCTGTTGGCTTGGCTTCTTGCTGTCAGCAGCGGTCACACTGGGGCTGGGAGGGTGGTGTGGGGTATGCTGTGACCGTGCGTGATGAGCTTTCTCTAAGAGAAATCCAGAACAGTGGTTACTTCTCTGGTTCACACTTCAGTTAGCATTCATTATGTAGAGAAACCTGATTGATGTGTAGAAAAATGAAGGAAAGAAGTGTCCTTAGAAAAAGACCACAAATCTGGATCGGATCTGCTTTACAATCTATGAAAACACCCAGGAGCATTGGTTTTTAAAGTGGTTAAGAGGTGACTGCTTGCCCCCTCTACCTTCCCCGCTCCGCCCAAAAACAAACCCCAGAAAATTCTAGAAGCAAAAGTCTGACCTCTGGGAATACAGAGAATGGCAGGAGGGAGCAAACCAAACCCTCACCCCCCAGATAAGGCAGGCAGTAGTTAGTTTTAGGCCAGGGTTTAAAGTTAGCCTCTGATTGATGTATCTATAAATGTTAAACTGTGCTAAACTCCCAGTTTCCTAGAAGCCACTTTGGTAAGCCTGGTGGCTCTACTGAATGGCTCTGCTGACACCCAGGAGCAGCTGGCTCCACTCTGTCACTGCCCCCCTTGTTTCGGAGCCTCTGCAGGAAAGTTCTGGGAGGAGCCAGCTCCCCTGTGAATTGTGTTACTGGTGAAAGGCGAGTATAGATGGAGATTTGACTGCAGGATCCCTGGCTGGTGGAGACGATGTGTGCCCGTGTGTACGTGCGCTCACATTCCTCACCAAGTGAAGCAGTAAGCAGCTGGAACAGAACACTGATTGTGGGCTGTTAAAGGAGTTTCTCATTAGCTGGGGCATCAGATTCCTAGCTCCTATCTTGGCTCAAGAATGAGCCTAAAACCTTGTGGGATAGTTTATAAGCCATTAGATGCCCTGGGCGGGGGTTCTGAGCCAGCCCTTTTGGCTGTTTGCTTGTCCCCCCCTCACCCCTTAAACTAGTTTAACTCTCACCAGAAAGCGGCTATAAGCCAGAATCCAGTTTTTTATTCATAAGGCACCAGGGTAGAACTATTCCTTGCCACCCTCCTATTTCAGTAATTGCCTGAATTTCCCTGAAAGGGTGACATACTTCACTTCTTTATATTTAGGAAGGACAGTGGCTACTCAGCAGGTGACTGTCCTGAGGATGAAAAAAAAAATGGAAGCCAGGCATGCTGGCTCAGACCTGGAACTAGTCAAGTAGGCTTTGCATAGCTGTCTCTGAACTACAAAACTGCATGGGTATTAAAGAGTGCAATGAAATAAGCAATTATTGAATTTCAAAACCTGAATCCTTTGAAAAATTAATCTGAGGTAAAATGTTTAAAACAATTTTTAACCTTGAACTTTGTCCTAAAGCTGCGAGGCAGAGCACGAGTGGTGTGTTCATCTCTGGTGTGGGTGACGGCAGACCTGCCGCGTGGACTGGCAAACCATATGAGAATCCAGGGCTTGTTAGTGTTTTGGGCTTCCTGACGACCCCCCCACCCCACCCCGAAAGTCTGCCATCAGCTGTGACAGTGTCAGTGAGAAAGAGAACCCAGGTTCCGCCACCAGCTCTGGCCCTCAGCCCACCACATCCTGTAAGAGGGATGGGGACCAGTCCTGGGGACTTGGGGCGAGAACCAGTGGCGTCTGTGAACAAGAACTATATCTGTAAACAATAAGGAGAAAGCCAATTGATGGACTGATGAAACTTACAGGAGGCCCTTTAACAGGCCTATTAGAAGGGTCACATCCAAACTGAAATGTGCAGTTAGCAGTGTCCCTTAAATCTCTCTCTGGAAGGAAGGAAAGAAAGTTACATTCACAAGTTCACATCTCTGCTTGCTTGTGTTCTTCGGGGGCATGTGTGAGGCCTGGGCTTCCTCACTGCCCATCAGAGAGGTGTGTACTGATTGTCTATGGCCCGTAGATGGCTCCGGGAGGAGGAGTCCATTTCGTAGTCTGAGTCCCGGGCTCGACTGGCAGGTTCAGGCTCCAGGTGCCGCAGGCTGTTGGCCAGTTCCTCGGGCGAAGGCACCAGGTGGAATATCTGCTCTGGGGGAGAGGATCGGCCGGGGAGACCCTCTGGGCCAAGCCCCCGCGGACAGCCAGAAGAGCTAAGGTGGGGAAGGCCCAGCTCCGAATCCCAGTGAGCGAGGGAGAAGGGGAACAAGACAGTGTTGGAGGAACCTGGGGGACAAGTGACCGAGAGAGAGACCGACACGGTCAGTCTTAATGTGACGGGGGCAGAGGTTGGAAGAACACAAAAACAGATCTCTGTGCCCCTGGGTTTGCAGCAAGCTTTTACCCTCTACCTGGTTCCCTGTGCCACCCACCCCCTTTACCAAGGGTCACACCTGGTGGCTGGGAGACCACTACCACGTAGCTGGACAAGCGGACGTCACAGGCAGCACCACACTCGAGCGGGATGGGGGAGCGCTGGAAGTGGCGTAGCATGTCCACGACGGAGGGGAAGTGGAGATGCTGCACTCGGCACTGGCCCCGCTCGGTCAGTGACAGGCGCAGGTGCTACAGGAGGAGAGGAGGCTCAGCCACTGGCCACTGAGGGCCTTGAACTTGGGGTTGGGGGGCGGTCCAGCCCCACCTACCATGCCCCATACCTTGGCTATGCCTTGGAAATTGAATGTGAGCACATACTCTCCACGCCGTGTCTCACTCTGCCGTACCAGGAACACTCCGTGAGCGTCAGGACCCTGCAGCTGCACCAGCTGGGCTGCCTTCACCCGGGAGATGGGGCCGTGGAACCAGGGGTAGCAGGACAGGAAGTGATCTGTTTTCTGACAGGCGGGGTCCAGCAACCCCCCAGGAGAAGCGCCTGGTAGACAAGATTGGTGGTGGTGACCCCCTGTGGGTACCTTACGTCCTGGGCTGAAGCTGGTTCTGCCTTATACAGAGGACAGAGTCCGGGACCCACTCACCTTGGTTCAGGGAATCTGTGCTTCCCCTCGGAGAGTTGGACGTGCCAGGCTCTAGGGCTGAGGGAATATGCGTCTCTGGGTCTGTGCTCTCCAACCTGCTGAAGAGGCTGAGGTTAGGATCTGGGTAGAGCAGGGGAGTAGGAAAAGCTGGGCCAGGAGTGGGGCCCTATGGTCTGGGGCCTCACCCTTGGCCTGTGCACTCCCGGAGCTCAGCCATCCAGGAATTCAGCTGCTGCTCGTCCCCCACCTCAAAGATGATGTCTGTCCGGTCCTTCACCTGGCAGGGAGGAAGGGAGTGGCTGTGTGGGTGCCTCGGGTGTGTAGGTGTGAGCCCCGGGTGAGAAAAGCTGTCACTCACCTTCAGGACAAAGGTGTAGAGGTTGTCCGGCATCTCGAGGCGTGTGCATCGCCGGACTTCCTGGATATTGGAGCAGGCTGCTTGTAGCTTGGGCTTTGAACTCTAGGAGACCAAGGTGAGGCACTTGAGGCTTGTTCCTCATGGCCCTTCACCCACCCAGGCCTCTTTTTCTGCAGTCGCCCCAAGGGCTTAGCTGGGTGAGTGAGTGCTCATGGTGCTGCCAAGCAGGCTCCCCAAGCCTGGAACAAGGTCTGGTGAGTGAGTGCTCATGGTGCTGCCAAGCAGGCTCCCCCAAGCCTGGAACAAGGTCTGGCATTCATGCTTGCCGGAGCCTTGTCGAGGGCCCTTCTGTAGCCTCTAAGCACTGTTCCCACACCCCCACACACTGAGATCCTCCAAAACCTATGTTAGCTGAGGGCCAACCCCCTCTTTACCTGAACCTGTCTCTGACCGGTTTTTGTCTGCTGACATCTGTTTCTCCTTCCACTGGTGGAGCAGAGAGCCCCCCTGCCCCGCCCCAACCCAGCCAGGTCAGACGGCTGCTGACCCCCTCATCAAAAGAAGCCTAGAGAGGACTTGAGGGTATCCAACCCAACTCACATTTCCCTTTGTGGCACTGTGCCAGGGGCCCCAGGCCTTTGTCCTGCCTTTAGTTTGGTCCCCCCCCGCAACAGTTACTCATTAGTGCAGGCCTCTCTTGACCTAACATCAGCTGTAGGAAACAGATACTCTCACCAACATCTTAGAGAGACGAAACTCAAATTTTGGAGGTGAAGTCCTTTGCCTGAGGGAGGGTAGATGAGGTTTTTACCTCTGTCCACAGTATACAGCCTAGAACCTCAAACTGCCACACCTAACTAATCTGCCTGTCTTCAAGTCTGAGGGTAAGGAGGGGTGGATTTTTGGCTTCAGGGTGGAGGTTGGCAGAGTAGATTAGCCACAGACTCTTGGGGCTTCTGCCAACATCCCTAAAGGGACAAGCCCTGGTATGGCTGGCCCTAGTCAGAACCAGCTGGAAACCTACACAAAACCTTGGACCCAGGAGTCTCCTGTGACATCCAACATACATGAGGTTCAGAGTGTGTGGGAAGTGGTCCCCTACCCCTTTGCCAGCAAGGGCTCCTCTCCTGGGTCCTGACTGAACCTGGCTAAGCAGGGGCTGACCTTGCAGATGCCTGTTCTGAAGAGCAGGAAGCTCTGGGGTACCCTAGAACACAGGAGACAGCAGCTCGAGGGCAGCAGTTTCTCAGAAAGGAGGTCTCCCTTCTACTGCCCACCCCCTTCTCCTCCTCTTGTGATAAGGGTGATAAGATTGTTTCTCCCGGGGTCATGAGATAATCAATGGCTGCTTCCAGCAGGGGCCAGAGCAGGTAAAGGCAGAAGGAGCCAGAGATGATGGGGGAATGGACAGGGAGGCTCGACTGGGCCCCGTCTCTCCAGTGCCTCTCTCTTTCCAAGGACCAGGAGAAAGCCAGGCCCACCTGGGAAGACCAGCCCAACCAAGCCAACATAGGGCAGGGGCAGAGGGATGGAAACAAAGCAGGCCCAAAGGCTAGTTCTGGCACTGTGGCTTTGGGGGAACCTGACCTCCACATCTTGGGCAGAAGCTGCCTTTTCAAGAAGTGGTATAAGAGCCCATCCCCAAAGCCACGTGTGTAACTGCTCAGGACACGCAGGCACCAGGTGTCTCTGATAGAAGGATGATGACCCTAGGGCCAGGCCACCTGCCTTCAGCTACTTCCCACCTGCAGGGGGTGTTGGTGAACAGTGAGGGAAGGGGCAGCCTGGCAAGAAAGGGTCGGCCACACTGGGGCTCTTCCCAGTCCAGGCTCCCCCTGCCCCCAGCAGTCCGGAGGGAATAACAACCCTAGGAACCCCTGACGTTTGCCGTGGTGGACTGCCTCGTCTCACTAACGCGATAAAAGAGGGAGCAAGCTCAGAGAGGTGGCCAGTCAGTTCCAGCCCTAACTGACCACCAGCCAGGGGGTTTTATCTTTCAGGTTTGTCTTACGTGTCCCCCATACCCCGGCTTCTTAGCCTGGGAGCCCATGAGATGTGGGGCGCAGTACTGACACGGGCCCTGGGTATGCTGGAGTGTACATGGCTCAGCTCTCAGAGCCCGTTTCCCTTCTGCAAAATGGGTAAGGTACATGGGTCGTTTGCTTCCTTCTCCTGCTTTTGCAGTTGGCTCTGCCTGGCCCCCAAGTCTCCCCACTGGCTCTGGGCCCTCAGGATCATTGGGAGGAAGTAGGCCAGGCCAAGAGGGAACAGAACGAGTCTCCCTTTCCGCTCTGGGCCCTGGCCCCAGGGTGAATGTTGAGATGAACCAGCAGAGCCACTGGCTTCGCTCTGACTGTGGGGCCTCCCTGCCTGTGCTCTCCCCAGCAGCTGGGGGACTGCTGGCCCAGCAGGCAGTGGTGAAGAGGAGTCCCCTCTCCCCCAACGGCCACCCCTGGCTGCACAGCTGCTGCCTCCCGTTTGCCCCCCTGGCTAAGCTGACACACATTCTACCTGACTCCTCTCAGGCAGCTGGGGCAGGCGGGGCAGCTGCCCCAACCAGCCCAGTCGTCTCCCCCCGTTGCTGCACAGCTAGGGGCACAGCCGGGATCTGAACCCCAGAGTTGGTGTGTCCCACTACTTACTGTGCTGACGGTGGAGAGAGGCCACAGGCTCTGCCCAGACTGGAGGGGCAAGTGAGCACAGCCCTAGCTGGATGGTCCAGAGCAGGACTCAAGAGCACTGGTCACGTGTGGAAAGACCAGTGGATGCCTTCCTGGTTGAGCAGTGTGGGACAGAGCTGGGATGGAGAGCTGAGCCCAAACTCTGGGGCTGGATCAGCAGCTACAGGAACATTAGGGGACTCCAGGTTCCCCTCTCTAGCATGCCGTCTATCCCACCTGCTCTCTAGACCCACCTCAGAATCACACCTGAGTGAGTGAAATGGCCAAAGCACTCCAGATAATGTGATGTAAGCAAGTAGCATGTCACTCACTACGTTCCCGCCTGGGAAGCAAGTTTTGGTGCCCAGCATCCACAAAGCTAGCTGCTTTCCTATGGCCGCTGTGACTCCAGGGGGAATAACCCATTTCTTTCTTTGCCCTGGCTGCTAGGAAGGTCGAAGGCAAAGGTGCAGATCAGCTCTGACACTGTCCACCCCCCAGTAGGGCTTGCATTTCTATACCTGACTTTATCTAGGTGGTATACTTCTCTTATCCCTCTAGATATTAGTGTTCAGTCTTGTCTCTGCCACTTCCTCTATAACTCTGGCCCAGTGGCTCAGTCCTTCATCAGTACTGTCACATCTATAAAGCGGAGATAATATTTAATAGTCGTGCTCTCCTTGCACAGGTGCTATGGTGACTGGGTGAACTGCAAGTGGGGGGAAAAAAAAACCAGCCTGACAAATGTCTGTTGTTAAATTTCTAGGCTGGGGTGAGGCCAAAGTGGGTAAAGCCTGGGGTCCACTGTCGTTACAGTACAACAACTTCCCCTCCAAATGGCCCAGGGACTAGACACACATGTGTCTTCTTTCAGCCCATCCTGCAGTGAAATCCACATGTCATCTAACCTACCTATATATATGCCCTAATGAAAGTAAGGGAAAAACAACAGAATGTAGTTTATATTAAGATGTATTTTGGGGGCACCTGGCTGGCTCAGTTGGTTAAGCATCCTCTGCCTTTGGCTCAGGTCACAATCACGATCCCCAGGTTCTGGGATCCAGCCCCTAGTTGGGCTCCCTGCTCAGCAGGGAGTCTGCTTCTCCCTCTCCCTCTGCTCCTCCCTGCCCTGCTTGTGCTCACTCACTCTCTAATAAATAATCTCTTTTTAGAAATGTATTTCAACGTGACTATGCAGACAACACAATGAACCACTCAGGTGCTTCTGAGTTTGTTTTAAAAGTTCGAGAATATAAAGGAGCCAGAGAGCAGGGTAAGCCCTAAGAGAACAATTAGTCTGTTGAGTGGACATTAAAACTGGGCAGAAAGTTCCATGTGTTTCTATAAGACTGTACCATTCTGGCTCTAGGTTTGTCATCTCTTTTAGAGGGTGGCATGGACATCTCTGCCTCAACCTATGGGTTTACCTGGGCCTCCCCGACCCCCAGTGACTCCCCTTGCCCCCACTGGTGGGGATTTGGGCTTCAAATCTGCCTAGGGGGATTTGAGACTGACAACTGAAACCAGACCTATAGTCTTGTTTTCCCTCATGCTGTCACCTAGAAATTGTCCCATGACCTGCTGCTGTTCCCCATGTGCTAAGTTAGAGCAGGGCCACAAGCATAGGCTGAAGGCAGGGATGGCCCTTCCAGAGTCTCCCAAGGTAACAGGCTGTATCTCACTCCACCCTCTCTTCACAAGCACCTTGAATGGGGCCTATCACCATTTGTTCCTTCAAGACCCCAGCAGAGGGACTAGCCAAGCCCTCACTGAACTCCAGGTGCCAATGCCCCAGTGGAAACAAGATACACAGTCCCGGACTCATGTAGTTTCCCTTGTAACGACGGAGACAGATGCCCAACAGGAAGGAGACAGGAAGGACCCAGACAGGCAGGTGGGGGAATCTGTGAAGGGTCACAGAAACCATGTGGGTTCACCTCAGCTATGAGGAGAGGATAGCTGAGCTTCCCAGGCACCAGGATGGCCCCTTGCAAAGGCCCTGAGGTGGGAAAGCACATGAGCACCTAAGGAGGCTGATGGGACTCCTGTACCCAGCGAGGTGGTTACGGTAGGGTGCCAGAAGTCCCCATGCGGTCCTGAGGCTGTGGGGGTCCGTTTGGGCTCGTTCTAAGGCAGAGATGTGGAAATGGCACCTGATGTACACTTCAGAAGCTCCAGGGAGCTCATGCTAAATACCTCGACAGCAGCATACCTGCTAGTTGGGCCAGACCAGCACTTAATTCACACCCAAGTAGCGAAGGGCCTGGCACGAAGGGCCCAGTGGTGTGGGCAGGGCAGGCCCTCACAATGGCCTTGTTCCATCCACGGCATCCCACCTAGCCACTGGAGAAGCCCTTATCCAGTGAAAACCTCGAGGAGCGGCGTCTCACCATCTGGAATCCCAGATTCCGACAGCAGCCCCCCTGGCAGTCTTGTCTCTCCCAGGGCTTTGGGCCCTCACTCCTCTCCTACAAAGAACAGCAGTGGGACAGGAAGTAGGAGACGGTGTACAGTTGGAAGGGAAGTCTAGGTCCCAGCCACACGCTTCTGCCCCCACACCTGTGCCCTCTAGGCAGTATCTCAGTGGTTCGAGGTGGTTGGACGAGTCCTAGCTCCATCACTTAGTACCTCTGGAATCTTGGGCATGGCACCAACCGCAGCCTCAGTTTCCTCTTTGGTGACATGGGGACAATAAATAGATCTTGCTGACCTCCCAGGAATAGAGGGAGGATGGGAGGTGGTCTTGGATGAGGGCTTGAAAACTTAAAAGACTCAGCAAATTCCAGATCCTAGTCCTAGATGACTGAGTTCACCCCCCCCCCCATTGCCACCCAGAGTCTGGAATGGGTGCTGCCTGGATGAATGAATGAACGAAGGATGAAGCATCACTATGAAAAATGCTCAGTCAAGTCTTACTGATGGGTATCAAAACACCAGCCTACGTACAAGAAAAAGAAAATACCCTGACTTATTTCCCCCCGCCACACCTCCAAAAAAGATTATAGGGATCTCTGAGCAGGCGGGAGACAAGTGCTAGAACACAGAGCAGAGTTCTATTTGCTGTGTACCTGTCTCTGAGCTGCCTGGTGGCCAGTGCAAAGAGGAACTCTCCCAAGAGAGGGCAGCCTCTTGTGCGTGGGGAACCCTACACACCGTCCACAGGAGGCTCTGAGAGAAGTGCCGGAGTAGAGAAACCTGTTCCTGTGACTGCAGCCACCCAGTGTCCTATTCGGAAACCTCTCTGGGGCCTGCGTAACTGCCACGCTGCAACCTTCCCATTCTGGGGCTTGGTAGTTAGTCCTGGCCTTCAGTCGTAACTCTGCCTGGTCCTCTATGGACAGACAGGTAACACCTTTCCGGCTTGTCTTCACTTTGATAAGACCTAACAATGCCACTACCCTCCCGTGAGAATCTGGTGATAGAGTGTGTGTCAGAGGTGCTTCCGGTGGGCATGGAAAGGTCCTGGAGGATGAATGCAGGCCTTAGGAAGAGCCAATCTGCTCAGAAGCAAAAGGCC